ATTGGAACCTCCCCTCTGTGCAAGAGTACAGAAATATAAGCTGAGCCTCCCTTGGCTCTCTTATTTGACAGAGACAGACATCTAGCACAAAGCTGAATCAGAGAGGAGTAACCACTCCTGGAGCTACACAACGTCATCTCCAGATTTCTACACAGTGCACTGAGCAAATGGCCCAGAGAGAACAACACTGGGAATGCACAAGTTCCCACTGCCACATAAGAAAGCACAAGGGCACGTTCATGAGAATAGCCCCCTTCCTGCCATAACACAACACAAACAGGCATGGATTTTCACTCCAGCATCACCCCATTCAGTCACCACTCTGTTTCTTTTTTTTCATCACCTCTCCCCTTCCTTTTCACCACAGACATTTCCTTCCTGAAATGAAGCTTCTGGAATTGTTATTCCACCTGCACCACACACACCATAGTCTAGATCTAACTATAACAATAAAACAGAGGCATGGGGATAAATAGAATTATCTCAACTCTGCAAGGGTGAATGACCTTGTAAGAGATTAGCACTGTGGCTCTCCAATCAGCTGCCTCAGTAAGTGCTAGTTGTCATGGTCTCAAGCATTGATCATGCCCCTGTGCTTACGTAAAACAGCATTTAATGACTGGCTACTCTTAGAGAAGAAAAAAAAGGCACCTGCAGCACAGATGTTCATTTTGTTGTACATGTCATTCATGTATGAATGAATTGACAGAAGTGTTCCTGTTTTGCAAGAGGATACAACTTCAAGGCCCCTGAGAGCTTTAAACAAAACATTAGCCATATATTGATTACTCATTTTTAACTCTTCAAAAATGGAATAAATATGTGATTGGTAAGCTTTCTCTACCAGTAATTTTCTGTGCCAAGCTCTTTTTCAGAGGGATAGTGTCTAATATCTATTTGTTGTCTCTGTTTTGAAGCAATGTAAGTGGTATTATCTGCAAGATGAGACATAAATTCCACTACAGACCACTAAAACTTGCACTAATAATCCAGTCTTCCGGAATTTATAAGCCATACCTAGCTGCTTCAAAATTCCCCCTATTGCTTCCCAACACTCTCTACTCCATTCCTACCTCTGAAAAGCAGGAACGCCTTCCAGATCCCTCAGGGAGTTTACAGAGACCTAACAGTAGATGTTGTCCAGCTCATTCATTCAGCTAAGTGGACACAAACACTACAGCAATTCAATTTCAGACCATACATCAGCTTCTGCCTACTTCAGGTAAATAATTTCCACCTTTTGTCCAAGACAATTAAATAAAGGTGATGTCCTTGGGTTGCTTACAGGCTTTTGTCACCTAATTACATTCGATTACTTGGAGAAATACAAGAGACCAAGACATCTTCCAGTGGGTGTCTCAGGTCTGTCAGTAATGTAAAGTTGAAGGGCTATGCAGGCCTGCTTTCCCATGTCCATGTCCCTGTTTTTTAATATCTAAGATGAAGATTGCTGTCTCCCTGTGATACAGATAACGTATCTCACCTCAGAAATTATAAACCAGAGCAGCTGTACCAGAGATTATTATCTACCACAGATGTAACAGACTGCAACTCAAGCAGAAGAAAACAGATGGCAAGGAGGCTGAAGTCCACCTTTCAGCAACAAACCAACGTGTGCTTTTAAGAGCCAGAAGAGGGCAAGCTAATACCCAGTTCTCCCATTTCCTAAATGTTCAGTGAACTCTTCACATTCACAAATTAGTGGGAAGAAAGTTTTCCTTCAATTTTATTTTTCCATGAGTCCAGTTTCTTTGTTTCCCCACATATGGTTTACCGATGTCTGCCTCAGTACTACTCTTCTCACCATTTGAGCATCCATATTTGGATTTCTAGACACTGCAGAACACATTCATCTTAAACTGACGCACAACCAAACTGGCTAGCAAGCTTGCCTCATGCCACAAGTCCATGCTTTTGCCCTCACTTGGAAGTCATCTTACCTTCCTGAAACATGTACACCTGTAAGTCAGATTCCAAGTAAAGCAACAAAAGCCTTACTGCGTTACTTTCATACAGGGTTCACCAGTCATGCTTTAATTCACAAACGCCAATGCTGGTATAAAGCATACATATAGACGAGAAATTAGAAAACTGAAAGTGGTAGACACTGCATGCCCTTTCCCACATTTGGGTGCCAATGGTTAATCTCATTATTAAGTGCCTTTCATGAACTTGTTCTTACAGCAATTTTCCGAGCCATAAATCTTTACTGTAGCCCCACTGTATCTGCTAGTGATACCTCATTCTTGTGATACACATTCAGCCGTCTGCTCAGGGAAGCTGTACCTCTGGAGGTTGGGTGGCTTTCTTCTTCACTTCTGTGCAGGACATCCAGGAGAACAGCTGTCAGGGTGCCACGACAGGGCCAACTTTTTAATCCCAACTCAACTATAGACTAGCCACCTTCAGGAGCTCTAGCTGATTTTCCAGTTGAAGTCATGTCTCAGGATAAAAGCCCTGTAGGTTCAGGACCTTCAGAAGTACTTACAGAATACTTTCAGGTTGAATGAATTCAAATGCCTTTACCAAACTTGCAAGTTTTTATCTGAATAGAAATCACAGGTCACAGCGTTTACCTGTCCACCTTCTACACTCTCACATTCCTTTCTCTAAATTAAAATTGTACTGTGGAGTACACAAATAATCCAATTTTACTTAAGGCATCTGCTTAAAGGCTTCCAAGTATCTCCCATCATAAAAACTGGCTAGCTGAAACTTCTCAATTAATAGAAGTAACAACTGCTTAATATTTGCAATTGCAGACACATCTGTAATAAAGAAAAAACATTGTCCTGGAGGTTCAATGACAGTGTTGCATGAACAACATAGAGAAACTATGTTGTTGCAGCAACATAGAGAACTACTATTCACTGAAGGACAAAGTCCCAGAATCACAGAATGACAGGGATTTGAAGGACCTCTGAAAATCATCTAGTCCAATCCCCTGCCAGAGCAGGTCCACCTAGAACAGGTTGCACAGGATGGCACCCAAGCGGGTTTTGACTGTCTCCAGAGACAAAGATTCCACCACCTCTCTGGGCAGCCTGTTCAAGTGCTCCACCACTCTCGAGGTAAAGAAATTCCTCATGTTTAGATGGAACTTCCTACGTTCAATTTTTTGCCTGTTACTTCTCGTCCTGCCACTGGGCACCACTGAAAGAAGACCGACACCACCCTCCTGACGCCAACCCTTTAAGTATTTATAGGTGTTGATCAGATACCCCCTCAGTCTTCTCTTCTCCAGACTAAAAACACCCAAGTTCCTCAGCCTTTCCTCAAGAGATACGTTCTAGTCCCCTAACCATCTTTGTAGCTTTTTGCTGTATCCTCTCCAGCCTGTCCTTCTTGAACCGGGGAGCCCAGAACTGGACACAGTATTCCAGATGCAGCCTCACCAGGGCAGAGTAGAGGGGGAGGATGACCTCCCTTGACCTGCTGGTCACATTCTTCCTGATGCACCCCAGGATGCCACTGGCCTTCTTGGCCCCAAGGGCACATTGCTGACTCATGGTCATCCTGCTGTCCACCAAGACTCCCAGGCCTTTTTCCTCAGAGCTGCCATCCAGCACTGGTGCTTGGGATTATTCCTCCACAGATGCAGCACTCTACATTTGCCTTTGTTGAACTTTGTAAGGTTCCTCTCTGCCCAGCTCTCCAGCCTGTCCAGGTCTCGCTGCATGGTGGCACAGCCCTCTGGGGTGTCAGCCACCCCTCCCAGTTTTGTATCATCAGCAAACTTGCTGAGGGTACATTCCATCCCTTCATCCAGGTCACTGATGAATATATTGAACAGGATCAGACCCAGGACTGACCCCTGGGGAACACCACTTGTCATGGACCTCCAATTAGATTCTGTGCCACTAATCACAGCCCTTTGACCTGTCATTCAGCCAGTTTTCAATCCACATCACTGTCCATTCATCTAACCCATACATCCCAAGCTTACCTATGAGGATGTTGCAGGAGACAGTGTCAATAGCCTTGCTGCAGTCAAGGTAGACAACATCCACCACCCTCCCCTCATCTATCCATCCCGTCATGCCAGCGTAGAAGGCTATCAGATTAGTCAGACAAGATTTCCTCTTGGTGAATCCAAGCTGACTGCTTCTGATACTACTTTTCTTCCACATGCTTTGAGAGGATTCCCAGAACAAGCCCTTCCATCATCTTTCTAGGGAGGGAGGTGAGGCTGACTGGCCTGTAGTTTCCTGGGTCTTCCTTCTTGCCCTTTTTGAAGACTGGAGTGACACTGGCTTTTCTCCAGTCCCTAAGCACCACACCTGTTCTCCACAACCTTTCAAAGATGATGCAGAATGGCCCAGCTCCCTCAGCACTTGCGGGTGCATCCCATCAGGACTCATGGACTTGTGGATATCCAGTTTACTTAACTAAGTCCACCCAATAAAATCAGGAATCTAAAATGTATACGTACTACATCATGCTGCCTATGTGCTAAGATGAAATGCCTTGAGCATCTTATAAGACCCCACAGACACAGTTCAGTATTTTAATTTCAAGCCCTAAATTCCATCAAAATCATGACATAGAAGTAAATATCAGCATGCTATGGAACTATGACAGATGCCATTATGACTATTGCTTTAGCCCTTCTTACCAGAAAGATGGGACCTTATAAAGCAGCCATTGACATGATGGTTCCAACAGGCGCTGTAGGTTTCCAACAAATTGCAGGGTACTGACATAGCCCTTGCACAGCATGTTTGGAATTTCACATACAACGCCTTTTACAAAAGTTCTGGCAACAGCCTACACTGGCTTTATGAATACTTGCATACCACATTCAAAAAGCTTAGAAGTTTTCTTCCCAAAAGACATGACATTGATAAGCAGTTGCACCTCTAGTTTTCAGATGTCTCCACAAATCACTATCTACAGAAGGTTGTTAACAGCAGACTGAAACATGCTCCTACTTAAAACTCTGGAGACCACCATTTTAACTCACAGAATTGTATCCATAAGTAAGGCACACCAGACAGAGATGATTCTGACATGCTAAATCTTTATTGTGTGAATGTTATTCAGAGCATTTATTACCCTTTATAGAGACACATTCAAAAATAACCCCAACATTAACAGTGGCTACATTGATGAGGAGCATGTTAAATCTATTTGACAGTAATCTGTATGCATGCAGTTAACTCTTGTGGTGGAAAAATCTTAGCCAGGAGGCCAGCCCAACTGACGACCGCCCAGAACATGGAGATGTACATGATAGACAGACTGCCCACCCTCAGGCCCTTCATTCACAACCATCCGGAATCCGTTGGTCAGGCCCAGGTTAGCAGCACACTTCTTGCCAACAATCATTAAATGTCCCAGAAGCTGGAGGAGAAAAAAAGAAAAACAAAACCAAAAACAAACAAACAGAAAACACACAAAAAGGGGAGAGGGCAGGAAGGGAAGGAATGAGAGCAGAGAACCATTCAGATAAGCTAGTAAGCTAATTCTTAGAAATTCAGTCACTGCTCTTCAAATTGCTGTCTGCTTGCAATTGACACTTTCCAATAAAAGCTATAAAGACTGACTATGCATAATATAGGGGGGAAAAAAGGAGCTATAGATTTTTTTCAAGTTAGACAGTAACAGACCACAAAAGCATTACAGAAGCTAAATTCATCTCATGGTTAAAGACGCCGTTACTTCTTCAGGTGTCTTCTGGTGGAAAAGAAACTTTATTCTATCATGTAAAGTTTTAAAAAAATCTTTGAACTTATCTTTACAGTTACAAATGAAATATTCAGCACTTCTCAGTTAACTTTGACCTGCGAAAAACCCTAAGCTCTTATCAGGGTAAGTACTGCTGCCTGTAAAGCATGAAAACAGACATTAAGATTGTACTCCAAAGTAAAAATGCATTTTGCATTGCAAAAATATACCCAGAGATAACATTTTGCTTTGTATCACTACTTTTACTGGAAAATCTCAACTCCATTCCAGTTCTAAGCTAGAGGAAAAGGATTATAGCATCAGAAAACTACTCTGCCACCTTGAAATGTCAAGAGGAAAAGGAGGAGAGTCTAGTAAATTATGAAGTAATCAGAGGTACAGTTTGGTATACAGAAAGCTTCTAGAGTACTTACAGATTCATCAGAATCTTCTGCTTCAGATAACCTTACAATGGGCTTCTTAGGAATCACTAGGAAATGTGTTGGAGCTTGGGGTGAAATATCATGGAACGCAAGGCACTGGAGAAAGAGCAAACAGTTAAACAGTTGCCTTCTCTGAGGCAAACGATGTTTTAAGTAACTCAATATGACCCATTTATTTGAGCTGATTATCAGATACTGCAAACATAAGCAGAAGTGTTGATTTTTCTTAAATGATACATTATCCAAAGTCCTCTAATTTCTATGCACAAGACACACACTTACCAAGATCTGCTGGTATACAAAAAAAATCATTATTCTGTGTTGAGCATTATTTGAAAGCTATAGTCTTTTCTGCAAGTTACTAGGCAATTAGGTTCAGGATTTATTATTTCAACATATGCCTAACAGCTAACAGAGCTGATGGCGTGCATACCTATAAAAAAGTACACTTATGCTTACTTTGCTTTTTAACACCCTTTTTAACAAAACAAATGTTAAATAGTCGCTATTTATCTTCCAGTTATGTCTGAATAGTGCCTTCTTCAAAGATAATAAGGCAATTTCAAAGAACCTGAAATTATGTGATTGAAGTCATATTACATTTCTGTTCTCAACAACACCAAGTATTTCAGAAAAATATCATTTCAAAGTAATGTATTAAGGCTGCCTCTACTTCAGACGTTCTCAAATTGAGGGAAATACACCACTTTTGAAACACGAACAACTATCTGTAGTAAGTAGCTGACTCCCAGATAATTTTATGGAAGTACCAAAATTACTATCCATCAGAAACTGCATTACACCAACACCTAGTTCTCAACTTAAGAACTTCCAATAGGTAAAAGAAATAAAAGAGAACACAAAGAAAGAGCCAACAAAGCTATGCCACTTTGGGCAAATGGCCAACCACAGAACCAGGACTTGCTACTGCAACCACCACAATCTGCAGATGCTCACACTGAGTTCGTGCTCTGCCACTGCTAATCAAAGGGTGTCTCTGACTTATCCATCACATCTAATGGCAAAACATCTCGTAGTTAATGGTTGAGTTATGCCGCAGAGTCCATACCTATAAATAAATATCTTACAATACCAAGAGGAACTGTGGTCTTTGCCAAGAGTAAAGGTGGTGAAAAGTTCAAACTTCACTTATATTAACAATGCCTTATCTTGTATACCTCCAATCCGACCTATTTTAAGCTATCTTTAAGAAGATAATGCCCAGTTTTACATGTCTGATGAACTGCTTGTTTCTCCCAAACACAGAAGGGTGATAAGCAAAAAATGGATTAATAAAACTAATTTGCATCTTAAATAAAAAAATCTTGAGTTGATAATTTTGGAAGCAGTTTTTGCTATTTTATGTGGTCCACCTAGAGGCAGAATGCAAATGACCAAACTGAGCCAAAGACCTTTACAGAGTCAATGAAATTCTAAAAGCAGTTCTACGTTTCCGCATACTTTAAAGGTAAAAAACCAACTGAGACACTGCAGGTAACTAACCTTCCAAAAAATATTTTGCACCAATGGCAGAGTAGGCTATATTCTCAAGTCCTCACTGAAGTCAATGGCCTGGTTCTCGATCAAGCATAGTGCTCACTTTATGCTGATGCAGCCATTACAGCTGAGCAAAAATCTCATGCAGCTTTGACCCATGGGAAGGACGCATACCCTCACGTGAACACAGAACACTAACAAAAGCATGATTTTCAGAAAGTAGTGAAAATTTCCAGTTTCCACTCTTGAGAGTACATGGCAGCTGCAACATATCCGTCTCTATCAAGCAAACACTGTTCCAAAACTATGCATTCTTTTTAAGCACACAAATCACGCAAAAGCATCTTTAGTGAGCCTGTATTCTACACTGCTGATAACCACTTATTTCAAAAGCAAAACCTCTGTTAATGTTCAGTATTTAAATTGAAAAAGAAAAGGGGGCTTTTACTGGATTCTAGCCTGCATTTTTTCATAAGCTATTTCACTTAGCTCCCTCACACTGTGGTGCTCCCACACTCACCCCTGAAACGGATTTTTCCCCTGAAAGGAAAACCCCTTTTTGCAGCCTACAAGATAACCAGTTCCCGATTTTCGTGAAGAGCAGAAAAAGCTGTCATTCTCTACTTTAATAATCCCTCTCAGAGGTTCACAACCAAAGCCTGGCAGGCTGAGCTGTATAATCTCCGGAATGCTATTGAAAAGCACATCAAGCCCTGCACTTCTGACAGGCAAAAAGCAGCTAGTTTCAGTGCACTGTCCGGTATCCACAAGAGTGGTTAATCTAAGGCTTCACGACCACCCTCCCACACCAGCTGTGAGAAGCCCCCTCCCTTGGCCCTAAAAGCCTGCACGGCCTACAATACTGTCAGCCTGCGACACGGCGAGTGCCGGCGGAGGCCACCGGCTGCGCTGGGGCCAGAGGCCTACCTCCACACACAGACCGCGGACACAGCGGGGCTGGGGCCCAGCAGCACCTACAGCCCTGCACCCAAAGAGCCACAAGCTCTCGGGACGCTGCATGAGGGCGCCAAGAGGCCCCGTCCGGTCCGGCCCGCCCTCCTTGCCGCGCTCCCGAGCGCCTCAGCGGCACCCCCCGACCCAGCCGGCGGCCGCGCACCGCCCGCACCTGATCATCCTCGTAAATTATATTGGCAGGGATCTCCTTGCGGATGATCTTCCCGAAGATGGTGTCGCCTCCGGGGCGGGCGGCCTGCGCCTTGCTGATCTCGTCAGCCATGGCAGCCGTCCCCGATCGGCGCCCGCCGCCCCGTCCGTCCCTCCGGAGGCCGCGCCCCCCGCGACGCCCATTGCGTCGACGGATCAAGGCCGACAGTGTGCACCTCGCGATTGGTAATTTCGCCTGTCTTTTTCGCTAGTCCCCGCCCACCATGCTGTCCCGCCCTCGTTGAGCCGGCGTGATGGGCCTCGGGGGCGCGGAGGGATCCCAGCTGGGGAGGGGAGGAACGTTGTGCCGGGGCCTCCGGTGCGTGGGCTCCGTGGAGGAATCAATGTTGTGAGCTGTTGTGGCTCTGGGGAGTTTGTTGCACCCAGAGAAACATTGTTTATTTCCCCATCACATCTACCCCAAATATCCATGTGACTTCTTAGGACTGTGTTCTGCAGCCAAAAGACAGCCTCCGGCAAGGCTGCTCTTGGCTTTTAGCGTGCAAGTTTGCAGGAGAAGCACAGCCTGCTGTGAATCTTCACCTGGAGGCCCTGCTGTCATGGCAGAAGAAGTTTCCAAGGTGAAAGCTGCGTGGCCCCTGGCACCGAGCACAAGGTGAATGGACCACACCAGTGTTTTAAGGCCTTTTGGGCCCACAGGGGCCCACCAAGGTAGGGCTGAGGCAGAGGCAAGTAGGGGCCTCTTACTGACATCAGCACTCGCCCCAAAGCTTGAAGGGTGAAGCCATAAAATACACAGGGTTTAGTTTGATGTGTTGGGTCTTGCTGGCATCGGGATGGCTCCTGCAGAGGGGAAATCACAGGCAGTTAAATGTGCCAGTCCTTCTACACATAAGCCATTTCCTAACCTTTGAATGGACCAATCAATATGACCAAGCAATAATTCACTGAGGGCAACACAATATTACACAGCTTCATATCTGGTCATAAGTGATTTTTTATATATATATATATGAAATGAGAAATGAAAAAGCAGGAAAACCAAACCCAACCAAACAAAAAAAACCTAAAAGAGTAACAACAAAGCTTTATTTTCTAAACTTCATGGTTAAAATAGATTGGATCCGATTTTCCTCAAGCTTTGACTAGAAAGATTTTAATATAGGCATACATGTTTCCCTCATGACAAAAATCTCACAGGGAAGGTAATGCTGGAGGGAGAGAGGGACTAAAAACTATCAAGGGGTTTAAATCTAAAATGGTGCCACATTCAATTAGCCAAACTTGTTACAAAAAGAGCAGAATTTGTCCTACATATCTGGTAGTAACTCTGAAATTATATATCTTGAGATACTCTAAACAAATGTCTGACAAAGCACATTAAGCACTGGGATGATATTCTGTGTCTCACTTGATGGTGCTGTATTAAGATATTTTGGCATGTATATGTCCTACAGATAGTATTAAAGTATGATGGCTAAAAATTGGTGCTTCAGGAGCAAATTTATTTGCTTTCTATTGTTGTCTAACCACAGTTGTTAACCAAAAATATGAATAATTTTATTCCCCTATTTTCTTAGGAATTAAACATATTTTGTGAAAGAAGAGTTAACATTACTAGCTAAACTAAGAAACAGTTTAATATACATACAAATATACATATTCAGGATCCATTTGTACATGTTAGTGTATTTAAGTAGATCTATGAGCCGCCATGGAGTCAATCTAGAAAGAGTATTTCTATGTTAAAAGAAAACACAAAGAGACAGTTTAAGAAGTTTCTCTGAAAATGCAAAAGCATTTTTTTCATATAATTGGTTTCAACATATATTTTTGTCTCACCTTGTGAATGGCATATTTTATATTATTTTGAATATAACAAGGCCTTTTCAAAATATTTAAGGCATTCATTCACAGTTGCAATAATTATTCCTGCAAAGAGATCTATGAACATGGACTATTTCTCTAGCTTAACAGATGAAGTTTCTTTATGAAGTACATAGTCCAGAATAAGTGCATTTAGGAAATTTGGAATATTAAAAATATTTAGTAATAGTTTAATATTCCCACACTTCAATTAGTTTTGAACATGATTGCAATTAAACAATGAAATAGGCTATATATTGAAGCTAGAGGTCTAGTGAAGCAGTAAAGCTGATTACAATTAAAATCCTTGTGCTACCTGTAGCTAATGCTGGATGATGTGTTATTGAAGTATAAGCTTGCGGTTTCTATGTTTTCTAGTGAATGGCAATTGAGTTTTAAAGTACCAGGCACAGCCCTGGGGTGGCCAGGCTGAGGCTGGGCTGGTCAATCAGGCTGTGGGCACGGGTAGGGCTGTGGGGAGCTTGATGTGAGCAGCCAAAAAGGTGACCTGGCTAGAAAGGGAAAATGATGAATCAGAAGAAAATGTTGTTTGAAAAACACCAGCCAAGAAAATGCTTGGCAGCCTAGGAGCTGTGGGCCTGGGAACCAGAAGCATCCTTGAAAAGTGCAGCTGGCCTTTTTTAAGTACAGCTGGGTACCTAAAAACAGTATCTAACAAAACATCAATAAGCACAGAAACAAGGAAATCTAACAGCAACTTTTTGTCTGAAACGGCTTCAGACTCTGTGACGCTGATTATCTTTGAAGTGAGACTCTGTCATTTCATGGTCGACCCCCTGGGACCACCACTGGGGTTGGCCTGGTCTGTCCTCCCGTCTCTGGATGGTCGGGTCCCTCTCTGGGATTGATGTAGTATCATAGAGCGGTTAGAGTTGGAAGGGACCTTAAGATCATTGAGTTCCAACCCCCCTGCCATGGGCAGGGACACCACCACTAAAGCAGGTTGCTCAAAGCCCCATCCAGCCTGGCCTTGAACACCTCCAGGGATGGGGCATCCACAGCTTCTCTGGGCAACCTGTTCCAGTGCTTCACCAGTCTCACAGTGAAGAATTTCTTCCTAATATCTAATCTAAATCTCCCCTCTATCAGTTTAAAACCATTACCCCTTGTCCTGTCACTACACTTCCTGTCAAGAGTCCCTCTCCAGCTCTCCTGTAGGCTCCCTTCAGATATTGGTAGGCTGCTATGAGGTCTCCCCAGAGCCTTCTCTTCTCCAGGCTGAAAAACCCCATCTCTTTCAGTCTGTCTTCATAGGAGAGGTGCTCCAGCCCATCTTTGTGGCCCTCCACTGGACCCGTTCCAACAGGTCCATGTCCTTACTGTGTTGAGTACATGGACCTCAACCATGTGTCATAGAATCATAGAATTGTCTAGGTTGGAAGGGACCTTTAAGATCATCAAGACCAAAGATCAACCTAACACTGCCAAAACCACCACTATCCTTACTGTGTTGAGTACATGGACCTCAACCATGTGTCATAGAATCATAGAATTGTCTAGGTTGGAAGGGACCTTTAAGATCATCAAGACCAAAGATCAACCTAACACTGCCAAAACCACCACTAAAGCTTGTCCCTAAGCACCATGTCAACCCATCTCTTAAATATCTCTAGGGGTGGCGATTCCACCACTTCCCTGAGCAGCCTGTTCCAGGGCTTGACAACCCTTCCAGTGAAGCGTCCTCTGCTCTTGGATGGTTTGGCCCCTTCTGAGTTCTGACTCACTCGATACTGTTATTATATCTCCATACAAGTATTCTGTCATAATGTATGTGCTGTCTCATTGTCGATGTGGGAAATAAGCTAAGTTTTGCTTCAGCTAATTGATGTATCATTGTTAGTGTGATAGTACTAACAAAGAAGCCTTAGTAATAGTAGAGTCTAATAAATTGTATCCAATTAATCCCCAGAAATGCCCTTGGTCTGTCAAGGGATCCTTGTTTGCAGAGCGTTCTCTAGGTGAAGAGAAACAAACTGGAACATGGCCTTCAACACAAAAACCCAAAGGGTAGGGGAGTATCAATAAGGCCAAAGAAACCAGTCTGGTAAATCTGCCAAGTAGATGGTAGCAAAGACTCTGAAATAACGTGTAGCATAATCAACTAATCAAAGGCGTGTTTAGGATAATGATTTCGTAGAATAGGTGTATGTGTGCCTTAGATGGGAAAAAGTGCAAAATAAACCTGTAATAGGTCAAGCGGTCGGGAAGAATGTGAGCTCCAACTTCTCAGCCAATGAGAAGGGAGACACAAACTCAAGCAGCCGGGATAAAGGTATAAAATACCTGAAAGATAAAAGATCATCGTGCATCTATTTTTGGTGCACCCGATTCAGCGCTGTTTCGTATTAATAAATTATTATTTTTTCAACCTTTGCTTCGGTGACTTTGTCCTCTTTAAATTCTAAGATGTGAGTCGGTATTTCTCACATCAATGAGTTGCTTCACTAATGGCGAGCGTGCCGTAGTCTGCAGGAGCAAACACCAACTTGTTTCTGGCTGTAACCGTTACTGGCTGCAGCACTGACTGTCGTTACACAACTGATTGCTGCCGTTATTGATTGCTGCTAGTAATCTGTAACAGCGCGGGACAGTTAAATATTTGCTTTATTAATCCTAGGTACGCTTGCTGCTGGTGACGTCTGTGGCAGCGCCCTTTGCTCCTGGTGATTATCCTGCACCACAGCAGCGCGATTCCGAGGACGAAGCCCCCGTGTCCGTGTTTATCACGGAGCCCCGCGGGCCCACGGCCCCGTCACGCGCCGGCCGGCTCGCCCTTAAACCGGAAGCAGGCGGGAAGGGCCCGGCGGCAGGCGGCGAGCTGCCCGAGGAGCAGAGGCCGGCCCGGAACGGCGGCGGCGGGGAGCGGTGCTCGGTCGGGCAGCGCCGGGGAGGGCGCAGCGTGCCGATAGCGTCATTTCCGCTTCCGCAACGTCCCCGACCGGAAAAGGGAGGTGGTCGCCATGGCGAGCCGCGGGCAGGTGAGGGTGCGGCGCATGCGCGACCGGGAAGCGGCGGGGAGAGGGCGCCAGCGGTCCCCGCTCCCACCCGGGGAGGGTTCTCGGCCTCTCTCCCCGAGACACCGCCCTGGTCGCGTCTTCTGAGGCTGGCGGCGGGGTTCGGGGAGTCGGGGACCGATGGGGAAGGGACGGGGAGGGCCCGCGCCTGTCCCTGTGAGGCGGCGGCAGCGGAGGCCGCCGGCGCACGCTCTCCCTCCGCCGCAGCCTTACAGCGGCTGCCGAGCTGATCCCGCCCTTCCCCGTTTGGCCGCGCACTGCGTGAGGATTGCCTGCTGGCCATCCCCCGTGCTCTGCAGGGTGGCCCAGGCGTCGGAGGGGAAGGAAGGCTGCCGCCAGTGGGCCGCTGCTGCCGTGCCGCGTCTGGGGCTTCTGTCCTTCGTGCATTGTGCTGCCTCTCAAATTTCACTGAATTTCACTGAATTTCACTGAATTTTAGAGTTGGAAGGGACCATAGAGATCATCTAGTCCAACTCCCCTGCTGAAGCAGGATTGCCTAGTGCTTGTCAGAGCATGTTACTCAGGACTGCATCCAGGCGGGTCTTGAAAATCTCCAAGGAAGGGGACTCCACAACCTCCCTGGGCAGCCTGTTCCAGGGCTCCGTCACCCTCACCGTGAAGAAGTTTCTCCTCATATTTGAGTTGGAACCTCTTATGTTCCAACTTGTGCCCGTTGCCCCTCGTCCTCTCACTGGCAACCACTGAAAAGAGTCTGGCTCCCTCCTCCTTCAGCCCTCCCTTGAGATACTTGTAGGCATTGATAAGGTCTCCCCTCAGCCTTCTCTTCTCCAGACTAAAGAGTCCCAGCTCTCTCAGTCTCTCCTCATAAGGGAGATGCTCCAATCCTTGAATCATCTTTGTAGCCCTTCGCTGGACTTTTTCTAGTAGTTCCCTGTCCCTCTTGAACTGGGGAGCCCAGAACTGGACGCAGTTCTCCTACCTTAGGGTTTAAGTAGTAACCAGACACACATTATATGTTTAGGGGAGTTTTTCCTTGTATCTCATTCGGCGATAGGAACTTCTAACAGTTACTGGCATTTATAGCATCAACCCGCAGAGGCTTTCAAGGCAAGAAGGACACAAAACTAGGTAATAGAAAGTAGAGTTTCGCATGCAAAGGCTGTCACAGAGAAGGGAAATGAGATGACAGTCAAGTACAGGTTAAAATGCAACAAGAGAATGAATTGCAATGAGAAGACAAAAACTATGTAAACTTTTCTTCTTTCCAGTGTAGAGTACTTTTTTGGGGAGTTGAGCCCCTGTTCCAGAAGTGTTCTAAAACCTAGTATCAGGGGTACTAATATACTGAGGTATTAGGGGAGTTTTGTGTTTCATTAGGTGACTGTAGAGCTCAAATGAATCTGTGCATTAATGTATTTTACTTCAGTCACCTAATATAACTACTCTGTGGTTGATGTGAAGAACTTTCCAGGATAGGTTTGCATAAATACACTAATAACAGGAAGATGCATTAAAATTGTTGATCGAAGAGTTTCAGAATAACTATAAAACACTTTTCAGGTTTGGCCATAGATGTCTTTGACTCAAAACCATTTATAATACTAACTTTACTATTTGCAGTGATGGTGAAAATATTATAGGGTAGAATTATTTCAGGATGTTCTGTCCAAATAATTTAGTCAAATCTCTGAAAAGAACAAGGAATTTATTTGCTGGCTTTTAATTCTGTCAGTTTACTTTCCACAGATTCAGCCATCTAGAGAATGCTGCAATTAAAGGCAACATGGTTCTGTTCAGTTTCTAATTATTAAGGATACAGAAGCTGAAAAAGAGTTAGTAGAGTCCATGTTCTCTTTTAAATGGCTCTGCTGAGATTGATTTAACAGATTGCCAAGTCATATTGTAAAAAACTGTAAAAAATATTTTACTTTAAGATTCGTGAGACTGTTATGCAATTCAGAATGCACTAGTTTGTCCTCTTTCCAGAAAGATCTGTAATGCAGCAGCATATAATCAACAGGATGCTGAATCATAAATTACAGTAGAAATTATGACATGGTCTAATCTGTTATGGTGAAGCAAAATTTGCATTTGTTCATATTTGGAAGTTGTCCCTTAATAGCACTAAAGTTGTGGTAGTATTATATTAATGAACTAAACTGGAATACACTGCCAGTCCTGAACAGGAAAGTTGCCTTTGCTTACTGTTTTATGTCTTCTTCCTAAAACCTGTCTTTTTGTGTGCATACAATTCTGGATGAATTATTTCAAGGTGTAGCCTGTTGAGCAGAGGGTGAGAACTTAGCTTGAAAATCTAAAAATGTGTTGTCATCTGTTGGAAGTAATAGCTTGCCTTTTCTTTCTCTGTGTTTGTCAGATTTAAATCAGAGGCACCCTCTTTCCAGGGCCTGCCAGGATGTTTTTATTGGCCTTTTAGTGGACAGTCTTGTTTGCATCTCCAGCTCACAGATACAGAGCATTCTGATAAAGAATATGGCCATTTCTCAGTTACAGCCCTCCGTTTCCTCTACATTTGAAAAAAAAAAACAACAAACCTGGAATATTAATTATGAGAAAACAATTTAAGGTTATGATGAAGGGTACCTCATCATAATTGTGGAACTGTGCCTTCTAGACATGCCAAAACACACTAGGAAGTACTAGAAATAATTTCAAAATGGATGTCATTACCAAGATTATTATTTTTTTTGTGCTTGTAGGAGGTTCTTTTTAATCTCAGACAAACACTAGAAAAGTCTGATAAGGACCTCGGATTTCTGTAATACATTTCAGTCTGTATGAATAAGCAGCCTAAACCACATGACTTAATCGTGATTCTTAGGGGTTTTGGTTTATGTACATGCTGAGAGGTGTCATCTCTATGTCGTAAACCCTAATTTTTTTTAGTGTTTGCTTTTACTGAAGTTTTTATTTGCTGATCTGGCAGTTATACTTAGGAAAGGAATTTGCTTTGTGTTTGTTTTGCCACGTTAACTGTGGGAGATTATGCCCAAGTATTATACAGAGACATGAAAAAAAATTGTTGAACTATTTAATAAGCAGTTTGAGATCCTTAGAAAATTCGCTTTGCTTGGATTGGCTTGTAAGCATGAGGATACTTTAACTGTATATATTTCTGCCTTTTTTTTTTGTAATCCAGTGATGCACCCTTTTTAGCCCTTCAAGTGACTTGACTTTTAGAGTTACTCTGATTCTGTTGGGTTTATTTGATATTGTCACAATAAATAAGTTTGTGTCAATGTATTTTCAGGATTATAATCCCATCATGCCAAATTACTATTTTGGAGCATGTTGCTAGTACCCTCTAGCATCTTCGGTTAGTTTGAAACATCTGGAACTGTCTAGGTTTTTGATTTCCTCACATTTGCTTTGGCTGCAAGTTACTTGATCAGGAATTGCAGTAAAGCATCTCAGATACTGATTCCATACCAAATTCTGTACTAATGGTAAGAACATGAAAGATCAACCAGAACAGTCTTAGTTGCAACATGTTTATTTTAATTAGGGATCCTGCTAGCAAACAAGCTAATTCTTTCAATGTTGTATTGACAGGTTTTGAAGCTTTTTAAATTATTACACAGAACACGGCAAGAAGTTTTCAAAAATGATACCAGAGCCCTTGAAGGTGAGATATTTTTTCTATGTGGTGGATGCTTACCAGTCTCTCTGTGAAACTTTCTTCTCTGTATACACAGAAAGAGAATTCTTAACGTAATGTTCTTTTAAATTATTCCCTTCACATTTTATAAGCAATCATTGGGGAAACCTGTGTGTCTATAACCAGACATTCTTTAATTTGAAACAAAAACCTGGTTGTTAGACTCAAGCACTCAGGCCATATTTCATAAGGAAAACATCTCTTTTAGAACCTTGGTGATCTTCCTTGCTGCTTTTTTTTTTTTTTTTTTTTAATCATCCTCTGTTCAGTCCAGCCAAAGCATGTTAAACTGTGCTAAGTGTTTGACTTGATTCTCTTGTAAGTATGGTTGCTGCTCAGAAGATAAATGCTGCTTTTTTTAGGAAACCAACTTTTAGTAGTGACTCCTGTATGTTACTTATATTTAAAGCTCAGAATGCTAGATAGGCAATCATATTTTATTCCTATACCAGTCAATGTAAAATATGACATCTTCTGAATTCCATGGAAATCGTATGTTAAAATACTTCAGGTAGAGCACACCAGGAATGTGCTTAGGATTCTGAGCTTTGAGACAATGACAGAGACAAGATCTATTTTTTTGTTCACACCTTAGCTTTGTTGTATACTTATTTTAGCTGCAAGAAAAAAGATAAATGAAGAATTCAAAAATAACCAAGATGAGACATCTGAAGAAAAGATAAATGAGGTACTTCGTGTTTTCATTGTTTTTTCCCACTTTGCATAAGAATAATTAAAAAGGAGCTTTTTACTTAAAGGATCTCTTAACCAGTGTAAATACTTATGGGGACATTGTGAGAGCCAGGTGAATTGGAGAGGCTTTTACATGGATCTTTATTTATAAATGTATTGATACTTCCATTGGTATTAAGACGATATTAAAGAATTTTGCACATACAAAAATACTTAAGGAGACAGTATCTCCTGGTAGTTCAATATGCTTATTTGAGCTTAAAATAAAATTATGGGGAAAAAAATATTATATGTTGCTATTTTCTTGTACATATTTTATATACTTTGGGCGTAGTAATCTATCTAAGCAGTGGTCACTTAAGTTTACCTGGTCTTTCTTGTATAGACAAACACAGAAAGGTACAGACAAATTAGATCATCTGCTCAGTTAGTGGCAGTTAAAGGAGTAGAATTTTCTTTCCTATACAAGTAACATTTCTTCAGTTGTTACATTAGTGCTTTATACTGAGTTATTTTTATAAAACTTACTGAGGCTTGAAATGAAACTTTTACATATTTTTAGTTCTTAACTTCCATACAGAATGAATAATTTAGTCCTTGTCTTTCAGCCTTTTAACAGAGTGTATTTACATTGTCATTGGGCACTGGTTGGAAGAAGTATGTGCATATTGAGTAGACTTGGATATAGAGAAACTGAAACAAATTACTTGTTCAGGACTGAAGTTCTCACGAGACTTGCGAAAATTTGGGCACTTGCTTGTGTGAATGTAGGAATGATAGTGTTGTGCTTTGGACAGCAGCTAAAAAATTAATATTAACCAACCAAATGTGTATTACTTTGCCAGAATAGAAAGCTTCTAGTGTGACATCAAATACTTAGTTATGGAGTGACCTAAGGAGGTCAGAGTAACCATCTGCAGTGTTAGAATGTGAGATGTGGCAGCTGAATCTACTGCAGCATTTTAGCTCAGACCAGAAGTACACTTATGAAGTTACCTTGGTTATCTCCACTTGCTGTGATTTGGCTTGTTTTGTGAAGCAGTCTCAAAGCAAATGGCAGAATTCCATTAAGATGAATCTGAAGTGGAAGGTGTGCTTCAGGAGTATGCAGCCTAGCTGCTAATGGGCATTCATTTGGGAAAGCTGGAGGATACCCAGTCCAAATGGAAGGGGGGATGGAGAAATTCAGTGTAGATATCAAGTCTTGAACTCTAACTCTTACAAAAATCCCCTTCTGTTGGTACACACTACTTCCTACTGCAAACATGTCTCCTGAAGCGTCTCACTTGTGCAATTTCATTTATTTCTGACACAGTGTCATATTAACAAGGATGAAGCTTCTCTTAATTGCTCAGCAAAACTAGCAAAGGTGCTTCTAGTTATCCTTTTAATGAGGGAAGGAATTGTAGGCCTTTTGTCAAATATTAATGCCTCTGCTAATCTTTAGGTAGTGTCTTGTTCCTGTACTGCTTTTCTGTGAAACCTCAGTATTAATTTTTGTCATGTTTTGCCTGTATTTTTGTCTCATTTCAAGAGCAGGAGTGTTAAAGAACCAGATTGCCCTTTCACTAGGAATAGTCAAATGTTATTGAGGCATTCACCAGTGTCTTTGATCATTGGAACTAGTTACTTGTTTTCATAGTTGCATTCTACCTTATTCCGTTGCGGTTTTAATTGGGTATATAGATTTTGTAGCTGAGCAGAAGTTTCCTTCCTCTCATGCTGTATGTCAAGGTCGGTTATATATCATCCTGTAAGTTACTACAGGATCCCCAAAGGAAAAGAGACGTACAGATAGTGCATAACTAATTGAATAATAGAACTGACTGGCTTTATTATTTGAATAGCTGTCTAGTATGGAAAATACTTCAGGAATAACTACGTATAGTTTAACTTACCCACTTGTGTTGTTTGGATTTTTTTCCTTTTACTAGCTTCTGAAAATGGCTTCAGATGTTGAAGTGATTCTCAGAACTTCTGTTATTCAGGCAGTTCACACTGATTCTGACAAAATATGTAAGTAAAACTGCATGCTAAAAAGAAGTGTACACGTTGTAGTTCACTAAATATGAAACTTGAAAACTAAGTAAGGGGATAGAGCGGGAAAAGTCTGTCATCTCTCAGCCCAAGATCTAAATTTATGCCTACTGTCACTATCTAGGCAGGTGGAAATTTCGGAGATACAATGTTTCTACACAAATATTGTGGAATATGGAGGCTGGTAGAAAAGAGGCAGTTTAATGTCCTTACTGAGAGAAAGAAGTTATAACTTGCTACCTTAAGTATTAGGAGTGCCAACAATTAGTTAGCAAGTCAGCATACGTGTGCTGGCTAGTCAGTCAGTGTGTGTCTAACAGTAGTAGGTACGGTATCCGAAGGTGCTTGCAGCACCAAACGGGTAGAAGCTGCCCGAGGGGAATTAGCAGGTGCAATGTTATGCTGTCCATAGAACAGGTTTTTCTTTGAGGATTGAGGTTCTTTTCTAAAACCTTTTTCTGACAATTTACGTTTCAGTTTATGCCTTGGAAGATTTGTGACACAATAATGGCCTTGAATGCAAGGCCTATCAAATTTTGGAATTTTGGTTCCCAGTCCTTTTATCTTGCAGTCAAACTCAAGTAGTAGATTCAGGATACAGCTGCGTCCTAGAGAATAGGAGAAATCTTCAGCGGTGTACATTGTTTCCTTTCACTTTTAGTCGGTGGTGTCTGTAAAACTATGTAACTGTGTTTCAGTGTTAGACTTCCTAAGCATTTAACTTTAGAACAGCAGTTATGATCAAGGCCAGAGATAGGTCTAGACCAGTGTTGAGTCTTTCACAGTGATCCTAGGCAGATGACAGTAGAAGAATAGGAATAGAGCAAGTAAACTTTCACATCTTCCAGCTGATTGCACCTGGCAGCACTTACTAAGCCAGGGATGATTTCTGTTTTAGTTACCCTCTATGGGTTTCTGTCTCATGAACTTGTTCCTGTTAATCTATGCAAATTTCTTCCATCAGAGAACCTTTGACAAAGAATTTACTCTGGTTTTTATGAAGAAATACTTGCTGTAATTTTGAATCTGGTCCTGCTCTTCAAAATCATAAGTTTTTAAGCCCTGTATAACCCCCTTTTTGTTTTGTTTGTTTGTTTTTTTTCTCCTTATGGAACAGCCTCTCTGTGAAACAAAAGATGAATGCCTGTGATCATTCTCTTGCTATTCAATGCACACTTTTCAATACTGCTATAGTTCTATTAAGATAAAAGAATCATAGAATGGTTTGGGTTGGAAGGAACCTTAAAGATCACCTAGTACCACCCTCCCTGCCATGGGCAGGGACACCTTCCACTAGAGCAGGTTGCTCAAAGCCCCATCCAGCCTGGCCTTGAACACTTCCAGGGTTGGGGCATCCACAGCTTCTCTGGGCAACCTGTTCCAGAGTCTCACCACCCCCACAGTACCTAATATCTGATCTAAATCTACCCTCTTCCAGTTTGAAGCCATCACCCCTCGTTCTATCACTATACTCTCTCATAAAGAGTTCCTCCCCATCTCTCCTGTTTGACCCCTTTAGATACTGGAAGGCCTTGGACTGGAAGGTCTCTGCAGAGTCTTCTCCAGGCTGAACAATCCCAGCTCTCTCAGCTTGTCTTCGTGGGAGAGGTGCTCCAACCCTCTGATCATCTTTGTGGTCCTCCTTTGGACTTGCTCCAACAGGTCCATGTCCTTATGTTGGGTCCAGAGCTGGATGCAGTACCCCAGGTGGGGTATCACGACAGCAGAGGAGAAGGAGAGAATCACCTCCCTCGACCTGCTGGCCACGCTTCTGATGCAGCCCAGGATACGATTGGCCTTCTGGGCTGCTAAGATTATTAGCAGCTGTCTATCAGAGCTGAGCACGGTCATCAAGCTATGGGCAAACCAGGCATTTATAAACACAGTGATGGCACAGTGTGTTCTCTTTCATTCTCAATCAGTTTCCTAGTCAATCCTAATTCTGAAACTCAATTTTGGCTTCTGTGTGTACATATATATATTTTTTTTTTGACAAAAATATCTTGTATTCATTAAACTCACATGAATGGTCTTAGTCAGTTTTGAACCTATCACTTTCTTTTTGTGAAGTTAGTATTTTTTTGACCTGTGTGCATTACATGTCTCCACATGTAATTTTGTCTGTTATTTTACTGTCTTAAGCTTGTCCTGCAATTCTTCACACTAAGCCATTTTCTTAACTTACACAGGATGGTGTTGTTAACCCCAATCTTATCCAGGTTACTTACAAATGTGTTGAACATAACACGTGCACACGAAAATGCCTGTAGAACTCCAGTCTGAACATTAGGGTACCTGTTCATTTATTATTCACTTCTACGGTTTAACCAGTGACTTACCCATGCAAGGCCTTCTGTCATAATAAGGCTGTTATTTTCTTAAAAGCATTAGCTGAGGGACTTGTGGGAATCCAAGCATGTTGAGGCAGCACCGCAAGAGCTGTTCAGAGAACTCCGGCGGGGACTGCAAGGCAGAACTTCCCTTGCAAAAGCCACGTGAATTTGTGTTCAAATACTAATTTATGTTCTAATACTGTGTTGAGTGTGTAGGGATGAGGTTAGGACAGCCAGAGCCCACCTGGAGTTGATCTTGGCAAGTAACGTGAAGGACAGCAAGCTTCTATAAGTATATTAGCAGCAGAAGGAAGAGGAGGAAAGATGTGGGCCCACAGCTGAAAAGGGCAGGGAACCTGGTAACAGAGGACACAGAAGAGATTGGGGTGTTTGGTACCTTCTTCACCTCTGTCTTTACTGCTAAGGTTTGCCTTCAGGAATTGTAGGCCTCAGACCACTGAAAATGTCTGAAGCAGGGATGAATAACTTTTGGTAGAGGACGAAAAAGCTAGGGAACATTTAAACAGATGGGGCATACACAAATCCATGGGATCTGATGAGATGCACCCATGGATGGTGAGGGAGCTGGCTGATATAATTGTGAAGCCACTCTCAATCTTATCTTTGAAAAGTCATGGTGATTAGGGGAGTTGCTTGAGGACTGGAAGACAGCAAATGTCACTCCTTTTTTCAAGAAGGGCAAGAGGGAGGATCTGGGAAACTGGTCAGCCTCACCTTGATCCCTGGGAAGGTGGTTGAACCAATCCTGGAAGGTGTTTCCAAATGTTTGAAGAACAGAATGGGTACTGGGAGTAGTCACCAAGGATTTATGAAGGGGAGATCTCTGACCAGTCTGATACTCTTTTACAGTGAAATTACTTGACCCAGGACAAGGAGAGAGTAGTGGTGATAGTCTGCTTTGACTGAATTAGAGCTTTAATGCTTCTCCTTTAAAATCTCTGTAAACAAAAATTGATAGAATTGCCCCCACCTAATTCTACAAACTTCTTAGAGAAATGGTGGTGATGAGGTTTTGTGGAAGAGGGACGTCTTCCCAAGTCTAGTACAGGCCAGAAAGACTTTGTCCTGTGGCAAAAAATTTGGAGTGCATCTGTACACAGGTTGCATTTGACCTGCTTATAAAAACAGGGTGTGATTGTGAAGTTTCTTGGACATTCTTTGTTGTTTGTTTTTTGTTTTGTTTTTGTTTTTGGTTTTTTTTTTCCGTTTTCCTGTATCTGCTTTGGATAGGTCTGAGCTGTCTGTTTTATGTGTGTTTGGAATATATATTGAAGTGAAAAATACTTAGTCTTGGTAATGTAGTGAATCACCAATTAAAAGATCAGAAAAGTTTAGAAAAGAAATCTAGTACAGCTTTGCTGAAGGACGGGTTAGCAGAACAAAATCAACCTGTTTGATCCTTAATCTTTATGCTCTGTGGTAACTTTTTTAGTGCCAACAGAATTGCAGTGAGTTCCCTTGTTGCTTTTATGGTATCCTGTATTAAATGAGAGGCTCCGGACAGATTTATTTACACACACACAAACACAAAATAGGGGAAGTGCAGTACTAAGGCTACTGCTTGAGTTGCTATTTGTTGGTAAATAACAATAAGCGACCCCAGTTGAAAAGTTTATGTTACATAGTGTTTCCTCTATTGCTATATGTTTGGTTTGGAAACTTTTTAAGTGAAGGTTTACTGTGCTGTAATTTAAAGTATATTGGCTTATTTGGAAAAAAAAAAAAAAGCAAGTGTGAAATACTTACATTTGGGGTTACATTTTACATACTTACATTTTTAGTTCATACTGTGTCCTCGCTTCATCCCAAGCCGTGCCCCCTCTCCCTCACCCCCCAATTAAAAAAAAAAAGACTGAAGTGATCAATTACGATGTTGTATGAAAGAAGAGTGGGGAGAAAAGGAATTAGGTATTTTCAGAAACCTACTGCTGCAGCTGGTTTGCTTATGTGAGTTACCATCAGAATCTTTTGACTCTAGCTCATTGCATTATAGCTGACAATATACACTTTAGCTACACCTGGTGTTTGGGGTATTTTTGCAGTCCTGTGTCTCTAAAATAACTATTTAATAACTGAAAGGAAAAGTCAAAGACTTGTCTTAGACAATGAGAACAAATATTGTGAGGGGAAAATTTTCCCTAATCAAATGAAATCATTCTGTGCTGTCATAAAAGCAGTGAGAACAGTGCTGTTCTTTAAAAAGAAAGAATTTGAGAAGCAGTGGTGTATAGTCATGTTGGGGCTCACTGATAAATCTGTAAAAAAAAGACACTAGGCAGAGGTTTTCTTACTAAAAAGAAGGCAATTTCAATTAGAAGCTTGTAAGTCATATTAGACAATTTTTCTGGGTTTTTTTGGAATGTTTCAGTCTGAGTTACGTTAGTAGTATGCAAGTGTCTCAGTTATATTAATTTCACTTTAACTTCAGATTAAGCTGATACAAGTAGAGCTTCCATTTAGTAATATACCACACATGCAGTATGTTTGGATGATTTTGATTGGTGTATAGGCAATGTGTCTAAAACTTAGCTTTGAAAAGGAAGGTTAAAAAATTCTTCTTTCAATCTTTATTTGTTTAGACTTTAGCGATACCTTCTGTTTTTCTTTGGTGTTTCTGTTTCATCTACCTGTTCTAGGTGTGTAGATCAACATGTTTTGTCATAAATTTACTCACAAGTATTTTATCCCAGAAAATGCAATTGAAATTTTACTTAAAGCTCTTAGAAACTTATTAAATGCATCAGTATTGGTATACAGATGCAAAAGGAACAGACCTTCAAGGCAATCGGTTCTCTTTCTTATAAGGGATATCAGTGCACTTTGGACAGAATGTTACTCATTACACACACGTGCACACAAACACACACGGTTTTACAGGTTTACCGTTTTGCAGCTGTCCGACCAAGTCAAAGTACAGCATTATGATTGCAGATGTTTGTGCTTTAGTTTTTGCTACTGGAGCAAATCTGACATGACACAGCTCCTTCCCTTCATAAAGAGAGGACAAGCTGATTTCTGAAGGACTAAATGGCAAGAACTCAGACAGGAAGAGGTAAAAATGGTATATAATTAGACAAACACACTGCACTTCTGTGATGATATAGTAACCATAATTTTCATTTGATGCTTTCTTCTCCTATTGGCCTTTAAAACAAGTGGGACAAGATGAATTTTACAGGTCAGATGACAGGATGCGGGGGGAGAGGGCTAAGTCAAATTTAGTATTAATTTTTGGAACCATTGAAGTAAATATAATATGACTCAGGCATGATAAAATTGCCGTTCTCTTACTTGCTAAAAGTTACTGCAACACTTTACCATTTTTTTATGAATTCTTAAAACTAGTGAAATATTTTCAGTGCTTTTAAAAGAAAAAAGGAGAAGCCAATAATCTGACCAACAAAAGGTAAAAATCTTAATATAATTTTGTCTTGGGTAAATACTGTGATTCTGCTTGTACAAATTCTTGTTTTAGTAACCTGATTTTTTTGTAGTAACTTGATTTTTTGGTTGTAAATGTAAAAACAATTTTAGAATTTTAAATAGTATTCTCATAGGTTTTTTTTTCTATTACAGTGCTCATACCCAGGAAAGATCTGCTACAAGACAACACTCCTTACTTAGATAAACCAACAAAAAAGCATGAATCCTGAGGAAAATATGCCCCTGTCACCAGAAGATTAATATCCTGTCATGAGATTACTGAAAACTGATAGTGGATACCTATTGTAAAGCTAAATTTTAAAAACAATACCATCATGCACTTCCTTTGTGGAAGATACTAATACTTCCATGGAAACGTAAGACATAGTTATCTTAAAAATACACTGCTGTTACTTCAGACAGGAATGTTTTAATTATGACAATTTTAAGACAGAGTCTAAAGTTTTTCAAAACTAAATACAAGTTAAATGCAGTTCTTAATCCTGGTAATATTTATAAGTTTATTGTGAATCGTATGCAGCTTTGAAGTAATGAAAAACTGTCTTGTGACACTTTGCATTAAATTTATGCTTTGCAACAAAATTGTGGTTTCTGAGGATGTCATTGATTGTACACTAATATACTATGATATTTGAGAGCGTTCTTAAGGTCTATCTGAATAGAGTGGGAGAGTGTGTATAGTGTTTTTCTTCTCCCCCACACCTTTGAATGAGCAAGAATGGCAGGTTTTGAGTTCTTAGATGACAGTGGAACAAGAGAACCCCACCACAACCTAACCTAAGGATATTGGTTTAGATCACATGGTTTATGAATTAAAGGTTTTTCTTTTTGTCTTGTGTTTATAGAGTGACTTACTGAGGCACGTTGCAAAGAAAAGAGGCTTGTTGCTTAGTTGCAGGTGATCTGACTTGCCTAGAGTGAATTTATGGTGAGTTTATTTACTAAGCCCTTATCGCTTCCATTTTTTTTAAAGGAGACTTACTTGCTTCTTGCAGAGTTCATCACAGTGATCTGTTCATTTCCATTTTAATTGGAAGCATATACAACTACAGTGACATATGGAATCTTCTGTATGTGAAACTGGTAACAGACACCATACTAGGATCTAAATACCTCACCACAAGAGTGAGGTAGCCCAGTAAAACCCCTCAGCTGTATTACAGGTCCCAGTGATTCTGTTTATTTTCAATAAGCCTCCAACATGTCAATATGGCATATCTATGTGGGTTCTGATATGGCTTCACTGTCTGAATAAAACAGAAAACTACTGTCTGCATCCAGTCTGTTTTCCTCACACAGCATGTCAGTGTGGTAAGTACTCGTTTCTTTAAAGCTATTGCTTCTGGCTGCCTTGCCCAAGGTAGTGAAAATGTTGTCAGTAACCCTCTTTCAATTGCACTGATGCTCCCTGCATTGTAGCTAGAAGGCAGCAGGCAAATCATGGGAAATAGAATGAAATGAGTGCAGTTCTTGCTATTTGTTGCAGTCTAGTGGCTCCGCTGAAAACCAAACGTCTTGGTCTGCAGGTGATGTGCTGTTGTAGGCCTCTTGTGTTGTTTAATTCCCTAAGGACAAGACATATTCTGTGTCTGGTTTCCCATCTCTTTGCAGCCAGCCTGCATTGACTTTTTTTTTTCTATACGGAGCATAAGAGAGAAGTACGCACGGGAGAGAAAATAGAAGGTTGTTGCAGCTGTAAAGAGACAACAAAATAGAACATTACCTCAAGTAACGTGACTAATTCTCAAGCACAAATAATTTAACGTGGGTCTGGCAAAAATGACAAATTATACAAGGTATTTTAATATACAAGGTATATTAAGGTATACATCCCATGGATTGCTGTAATTGGAGGGAATTAATCTCTCATAGACCCATTGCTTTAGGATGTGGGAGTAATGTATAAGTGATTTTATCCTTCAGATCAATTTCATAAAACTGAGGCCTGGTAGGTCTTCACTCTTGGTAGTGATACAAAATACTCATTTTGCCTGTTACCATGCAGAATCCATACTAAGAGACTTAGTGATGTCAACAGTAGGTGGCAGTCTTTGGCATGATGTTTGAGGAAATCACAAGTGGAGAAACTATTTTCATGTTGACTATTGCTTCAGTATTGTTCTGCTGTCGTGTTTAAGGTTGTTATTTTTAACAAGAATTAACGCATTAATGGAAAGACACTGTGGAAATATCAGGTTACAGGATTAGGCTTCAGATTGTGTGCTTCATCTTACCTACATTTTGAATACTCATAATAAAAAATACAGAATTTGTCACCTGAATAACGTACACAACTGTTGTAAATAAAGGACATGGTACAAAAAAGTTGGTAGAATTTAATGGCCTTCAGAATAATTCTCCTTACACTCCTGTGCAGTGTGTTTATGGTCTGTACATTAACATTCCATGTTCCTGCTGTCCTTGTCCATTCCTGGGCAGCAAAGATAAACTGAGTTTTGCAGTGCTGAGAAAATTAAGTTGATAGGCAAAAGACTACTAAAGTAAGGGGCTAACAGGGCTATTTGTTGCTCTTGTTTCAATGTGATCTTGTACAGGAATCCAGGGGGTATCCAGACCAGGGTAAATAGGAACCCAAGTAAGGAACTGAGCCTAAAAATATCTCAGAGTTGGACACTGTCTGGTTCCAGCAGGTGCTTGCTTTCTGCAAATTTAACTTTCCAACCTTGAAAGACTGACAAAACTGCTTAATGAGCAGCTGGTAATTAAAGGCTTCTCTGTGCTAGTTGTTGGTGGTGGCTGTTCCTCCTCCCCTTATTCCATGCTTACCTGTTGGTTCACATTCCAGTCATGTCCCCGGCTTCCATTTTCATTTCACTCCAGGTGTAAATCTGTTCTTGATACTGCTGGTTTTGTGCTCATATATATCTTTGTTTTCCTTAGTTATGTCATAAATACTGTTATAAAGTAATAAATAATGTTAAAAAGATAGGAAGTATTGTTGTACTTCCTCTGCAAAATTTGAAGTGTTAGCTGAAACTGTTTAAACTTTACATGGGCATTCACTTAATGACTTGGGAGGGGGGAAAGTTGATTCTTTACAACAGAAACTGTTGTTTAATAGGCTCACAATACATGATTCCATCACAATAAACTTTTTCAGGTTTACTGGAACTGCAAAATTTTAGAGCAGATGTATGTACATCAGTCCTAAAAGATAAGCCTTAAAGGTAATAGTTCGTTAAACTGTAGTTTAACTATGTCGTATATCAAAAAAATACATAGAAATCTTTTGCAGGCAGGTAGAAAATTCTGTTGGAAAGGGCTTACTGCTTATTCAGATCTGCTACAGTTTGGCTGCTCTAGCCAATAGGTCAGCATGGTCTAACCAGTGGATGTTGCTCTCCAGAGGTGCCTTTGTGATCTGCAGATACACTAGCAGTGCTGCTTAGCAGGTATTTTAAAGGCAAGTTTCAGGTCTACTTGAGGCAGTTGCATGCTTACACAGTTTTTGCAGAACAGATTTCACCTCAGTGATTACACATAAGAAAATTCTAGGCACTTCAGCTTTTGAAATCATCTACCAAAGACGTGTCTGTTAGAGCCTTCTGCCCTGGTGTTCTCCTTCATAAAGTGCTGACTTTACTATGTACAGTGTAGCTTTAATGAAAGCGTTAAATACAGCCAGGAAATATTTCCCTTTTAAATACTAAGTTTTGGTTTTGTTATAAACACTTTTCCCTCTCATTTATTTAACACTTTCAAAATACAAGTTTTCTTTAGGTTTTTTTCTGCAAGCAATAGCTCAGGATAGGGATTGAGCATGGTATTGGTAAATTTGCTATAGCCTGATGTTCATAAAACACAGATGATAGATTTCATCTATGAATTGATTTTGTTTGCATGGGTAGGGTTTGTGTTGAAGTCTTTATGTTCTTCAGGTGAAACAAAATGGCTTTTCTACTTTAGCAGGGCCAAATTTATCCTCTTCTCTGTTCCTGTGCACTTTGGTAAAGGAAGAATGTAGTTGCTAATTTTAGAGGGAGTGCTCTTATACACCACAAAGGGACTCCACTAAGACTTGATCTGGAAGTAGGATTAGAATTTTAATGTGGAAAAGTAGCTTGTACCTTCCCCAAGGTGCTGAGTTCTCAGGCAGTTTTTCAGGTAATATGAGATCAACAAACCCGTGGCAACTTCAGTGACTAAATCTAGCATTAGCATTCATTCTTTTTCTTAGAGGTCCTGCCAGCTGAGGGAGATGAACTAGTCTGAGTGCTGCATAGCATCATCAGTCCTGTTTGTATCATACTGGACCTGTAAAGTAATTTCACTTCAAGTACTGGCAGTGCTTTACACTTCCTTTACAAAGGGAAAAATATACTGACAATTGAAAACTAAAAATAAAGGCTGACCAACTTACAGGAAGAGCTGAGTTCTAGTACTTCCCTGCCTTAGGTAACTCTTTCCAAACTACTTGCAACAATTTAATCCTAAACTCTGGAGTTCGGTAGGCTCTCAAATCTTTGATCCTTAGGTTTATGGGAAATCACTTACTTAACAGAAAGCACAAATTGCAACATGGATTTGCTATTAAGACTGATATTTTACAGCTACAATTGTTCGATGTTTTGGTAACTCCAGTAGAAATCCAGTCATCTTTGAGGGTAAAGTATATGTTGCTTGTATGGGCTAAATCTGTGGTGTAGGTATCCAGATCTCTAATTCTCTTGAAAGACTTCACTAGTGAAGCTTTTATGACAGCTTTATTCAGGTTTTTAAAAGTTTCCTGTGACTTTTTTTTTTCCAGGAAGAATAAATCTGGGGAGAGGAAAAGAGAGGAAGGGCACATCTTTATACTTTGATAAACAGCAAAAAGTTTCAATAATTTGCTGGTTTTATAAGCAAGTAATTCCATTCATTTTGCACTTCAATAATCTGGTTTGTATCTGATGGAGGGGTAAAAGCATCTACTTTTCAAATTATGCTTTCTGTTTTCTTGCAGTATATGCTTCAGCTTTCCATCTCATCTACCTGAAAGGTCATGGCTTGCGTTCAGGATTTTTGGGGCACAAACTGTGCCTATGAAAAACAAGTGCTTTTAAGGAGAAGGAATAAACCTGCACTTTTTACAGTTAGCTGTTCTAGCTATGTCACAACATGGAGTA